TATATATATATATATATATATATATAGTGGTCATCTAAACAGAGAACCTAAAAATGAAATTACATTAATTTTTACAATTATGTAAATATAATTATGCAAATGTAAATTCTAAATTTAAAAATTATTTATTTATTTCATTACTAAAATAGCGTAAGATAAATAAAATAAGATCAAAGTTATTTGTATACCATTGTTTATCTTTGTTCATTATTGTTTCATCAATCCATTAAAAAGACAATTACAAGATAAATAAAGTTATTAATATATTTTTGTTCATCTTCGTTCATCATCGTCATAATTTCCAGAATTATGTTGCCATTTGTGTATATGAATTTTTGATTGATTATCGTTCCATCTTGTTCCATGTGCCGAAACGTGTAACTTAATTGGGCCATGATTTTGTTCATGTTGCGGTTTTATTGTGATGTTTAATTTTGGCATACGTGAAGAATGGTGACCTAAAAAAGCAGGTTATAATTAATAGACAATCTTTATCTATTTTACTTTACTAATTTTTTTATAATTATTAAAGAAATATACAGTAGAATTTCCGAATATTTTAATTTCTGAACAGAATATTTACTAGTAACTGCTGCTTTTTCTTGTACTAAATTGTATGATTATTATATTTACCAAGTTTTCATCATTGAAAAAGAATTTACTAAATATAACTCTACGAAACTATGTATGCTAAAAAAATTAAGTAATTCAATAGCTAAAAAATGTATAGCATTCTTAAAGATTAAATAAATTACAATTTCCTTAATTCTCACTTAAATATACGCAATTTAATATCTACTATCCAAAACAATGTTGGACATTATTAAAATAAATTTTTATTTAAATAATTAAGCAAATAATTTTTACTTTTTTTATTTGTTATTTGCTTTGTTATTTTAGTTAAGTAACAATGTATTGGAAAATATTTTATTATTATTATTTAATTATATTTTATTATATTAGCCGATTACATTATTTTATTATTTGTAATTGTTTATTTGAGATGAAGAAATTTGATTTTACCAGGAAAATAATTTTTATTCTACTTTAACACACATATATAGGTAAAAAGTTATTATTTCTTATTTTGCATTGTTATTTGAAATTATCATTTGGAAATAATATATTTTTCAAATCTGTTTGTAATTTATTTACGAATCTGTTGCATTTGTTCTTATTTTAAATAGCTTATTTTAAAGTTTAATCTGATTTTATTTGAAGTAATTATTATCCATTTCATTTTTTATTTTTATCTCAAATAAAAAACATCCAATTCTGATCTGAAAATTTTGAATATTAACTGAATACATTTGTCTTTTTATTAATTTAGATATGGAAAACTCTATTTAATAATTAAATTAATAATATTTAATGATTATTTATATAATAAATATTTAGTATTTAATAATTAGTGATTGCCAGTGAGTAGCTTTCCTATTTCTATGAATATTTTAGAATGATTAAAATAAAATAAACATAATCGATAAAAAATTTTAAGTAATATAAATAATTAGATAGTATTATGAGATAAAAATGCGCTTTCATTCTATTTTATTGTAATGTAATATTTAGATTATAGATTTTTATGCAAATTTTTGAGAATATAATTTAAAAAATAATATCTTGGTAGAAAATTGTTTTGTGTATTAAATATTAATAAAACACTATATTATATAACATTGTTATATATAACACTATGTATTTTTTCATATTACATTCACTTTTATATCTTCAAATTTTCTGAAAA